TTCCCAGACTTCTTCAAAGTGTTTGAGAATCACTAAGGAATTTGGAGGATATCATTGACAGTAGGTCTGAGGAGTCAGCAACAAAAGACAAACCAAGTCTTTTAAAATCCACAGTCATTTGTTTTTTCTACCTGTCCCTACTGTTCTTTTGAGACAGCATTGCAATGTGGCGCACTTCAGATAACTTTATTTTCTTCTCTCCTAAGTTTAGTGATGATTAACTTCTCACTTCCTTTTAACAGAGGGGTAAAAGAGACACAGAAAGACAAAAACTAACTCCTCTCTCTACATATATAGTCATTGATGGACCTTTATTTATTTATTTGTATATGGTGCTGAGAATTGAACTCAGGGCCTCACTTGTGCCAGGCAAGTGCTCTACCACTGAGGCACACCCCCAGCTCCAGAAACTTAACTTTTTAAGATATATGCGAATACTTGTGTCTTTTAAATATAAAAAATGATCAGGGATGGCTAAGGGTCAAAATCCCATAGAAGAAGATCAGGTGAATTGAAAACTGGTTTTGAATGAAATACCCTCTTTAAAAAAGCAGACAGATGAACTCTTAATGTGAGATAATCATGTTGAAGAAATGAGTTAGCCCGGTCTTCAACCAGTAACTTGACTTTATTGTTTTCATTTTATTTATTTATTGTTTTGCAGTTCTAGGGGTTGAACCATTGACTTTTCCTGCATGATAGGCAAGTACTCTACCACTGAGCTACATCCCCAGCCCAGTAACTTGATTTTAGCAAATAACTGTCTGTTCATCCAAAATTAGGGCATGAGGTAATAACTAAAATTGCCAAAAGCAGAACTAAAAGTATTCTCAGAAACCAGTAGAAAAATAACAGTAGCAAGCAGTAAAAAATAAAAAACCTTTTGAGAAGTTATAGGGTAGAATTACACAGCAAAGGAACTAATTTTCCACTTTCAAACTTGTGATTGATATGATCAGCATTTCCTCTTTTCAGTGTGTTCTGATCCTTTAAACACCATCTTGGTTAATAGAAATAACAATGAAATGGACACAGGTTATCAGTTCTGAAAATACATGCCTACACTGATGCATATGATGAACTGTGAATTATAAAGTGGTCTTTTGCATAAACTTTTACATTTAAATTAGAATAAGGCTTGCTAGAATAAAAGCTTTATTTCAAACTCCAGGGTACTATTAGGTGGTTTACATGTAAATGATGAGAGCAAAAATTGTTTTCTAGTAAAATGCCTCTGACCTATGAAAGTGCCAAAAGTATAATTCATTACTCAATTGAAGAAAGGAGTAGGAAACTTAGTGCTTTTAGATGCTAATTTTGTCTAATGCTTATCTATGACATAATACTGGAAATATTATTGCATAATACTGTAGTAGATTTGGAAATGGTAATTATTTCAGTTGGGCAAATTCATGTCTGATGTGCTTTTAGTGAGTACCCAAAAAGCTCATAGATGCTTAGTAAAGTTTACCTATTTTGCCCAAAGAGTTAAAAACAAAAACAAAACCCAGAAAAATCTTAGCATTCCTAATGTTTATGGACTTATATTAGCATCTTCATTTTGTCCACTTGTCAAATGCATCTGAAATGCAAACAGTATATCTGGTACTGATGAGGACTTCTTTTTTTTTTTTTTTTTGTGGACAGTACAGTCTCTTGTGACCTTCTGTCTGTGGCATTTTAGGCAAGGCTGGTTATGTGGACTGAGATTATATTATCTTAGACAGTGGGATTTCGGCAGTTCTTGGTAACAGGCTGACCTTAAACATCATGGGTTCTATGATGGTGTGGTACTTTTAAACGAGTGTCAGACTAAAGATACTGCATTTTTTTTTTTTTTTTGCAGAAGACAAATGGTCTTCATTTGCTAACCTTTCATGTGAAGACAGATATCTGTCCATAGCTATTTAGTAGGTTCTTACCTAGCAGATATGTTTGAAAAAATGAACACAGTCTGTCCTTCCAGGTAAAAGTGAGATTTAAATGAGCCAGTATCTGCAACCTGGAGCAGAGGGTAAGTGCACCACAGATAAGGCATTTTTAAAATGATTGTTTGGAAATGTTTTTATTATTGTGTAATCTTATCACTAACAGTGAGTCATGCATATCTTTTTTTATTTATTTTTTTTAATTTCTGAACATAAACTCAAGAATTTTTTAAACCTTGTTTTAAATCTTTTTTTTTTTTTAAAAGAGAGAGTGAGAGAGGGGAGAGAGAGAGAGAGAGAGAGAGAGAGAGAGAGAGAATTTTTAATATTTATTTTTTAGTTTTTTAGTTCTTGGCGGACACAACATCTTTGTTGGTATGTGGTGCTGGGGATCGAACCCGGGCCGCACGCATGCCAGGCGAGCGCGCTACCGCTTGAGCCACATCCCCAGCCCCTTGTTTTAAATCTTTGAAATAGTTTTAGCAAGTCTTTAGACCAAGCTAAAAAAAAACAAAAACAACCTCCCCCCCCAAAAAAAAAAAAACCTACCACTTTCCAAAATATCAGGGCAGATGGAAATTTGTTAGAAGAATTTCAGAGAAACCCTTTGTATAGTTGGTAGATGGGCTATTAAAATGTACATTGTGATTTACTAAGCACAGTCAATGATGTACTTCTTTCCTTGCAGCGATTAATCCTTCTCAATTAGGGCCTCATTAATATCAACTATGGAAGTAAACTGACTAGACCCAATCGTTCAGACTCTGCTATATCATGAAATATTTAAACAAAGATTTTAAAAAGAATCAGATTTAATTATGCCTTCTTAAAAAAGTTGTATTTTGTCTTTATATCATCCAAGTTTAAGTTTTATATATTTTTGTTTTATAGTATGTATACTAGTGCAATAATACTTGTATTTAACTCATGTATACACTCAAATGTGGAGCACAATTGCTAGGAGAGCTCACTCAGATTTCGTATTTAAAGGTATATGCCTTCAAAAAGTTGGATATGCTCATACTTGCTGGTAGGACTGCAAATTGGTGCAACTACTGTGAAAAGCAGTATGAAGGTTACTGAGAAAACTTGTAATGGAACCACCATTTGAATCAGTCATCTCACTCTAGGTTTATACCCAAAGGACGTAAAATCAGCGTAGTACAGTGATGCAGCCATATCAATGTTTTGTAACAGTTCAATTCATAATAGCTAAACTATGGAACCAACCTAGGGTACCCTTCAATAGATGAATGGATAAAGAAACTTGGTTATATATACACAATGGAATATTACTCAGCCATAAAGAAGAATGAAATTATGACATTTGCCAATAAATGATTAGAGCTGGAGAATAGCATGCTAAGTGAAATAAGCCAATATCAAAGAACCAAAGCCCAAATGTTTTCTCTGATATATAGATGGTAATTTACAATGGGTATGGGGGAGAAGTATTTTGAATTAGACAGAGGGGTAAAGGGAGGAGAAGGTGTATGGGCGTAGAAATGATAGTAGAATGAATTGGATATTATTACCCTATATGCATATATGGTTACATGACCTGTGTAACTCTACAGCATGTACAACCAGATGAATAAGAAGTTATACTCCATTTATGTATGATGTGTCAAAATGCATTCAACTGTCCTGTATAACTAATTATAAAAAAAAAAAATTGGAGATCATTGTTCTAGAAATCCTTCCCCAGCTTTCTTCTGTGCATCTACAGCAGTGACAAGTCCCTAGCCAAGCTTGTCAATCATCATTTTACCCACCTGTACTCCATTTGGCTCCTGGAGAAAGGACCATTTGATGAGATTGTATATAGTGTTTGACACAAGGCCTTGAGTGAAAAGGACAGACAGGATCCATGTTCTCCAGAAGCTTGGGATACAGTGGGGAAAACAAATGCTAACAAAGGACATTGTAGGATTATTTAATTACAATTTAAAAGAACTGTTCAAAGGAAACCCATAGAGGGGAGTGAGACCTAGTCATACATAAAGACCTTAAAGCCCTAGGAACTGAGGAGGACATTGTGCCTGAGGGAAAGAGGAATTGAGGAAAATAATGAGCAGAATGGATTCCCAAGTGCCAAGTGAGGTGTCACATATACTATTTTGAGTTCCATGTAAATGAATTAATACAACTATTTTAGAAGGAATTTCTTTTTTTTTTTTGAGTTTTAACATAATAAAAATAATTTTCCAGCTTGTCCATATATAGGTAACTCTAATTGCTACTTTTAAATCTGAGTCTCCTCTGTTTTTTCACTTGCCTAATTGGTGACTGCATTTGTCCTTGCTGTCCCATGTAGATGATGAAGATAAGCCATATTCCATGAGCTGTGACTGCTTACTAATATGAGATTATTTTTCTCAAGTTCCACTAGTGGTTAATGTGCAAACCTAAGTGTTGTGTCCTAAGACTACAGGAATATTTTTTTAATCCTTAGCCTAGTACTGAAAACCTTTTTCAAGTTTTAGCATTATTGCTAAAGTTCATAATATGTAGGTTGGTAGTGTAATAATTAGAAAATTTCAGGTAAAGAAATTGATATTTTATTTAATATCCATTTGTCAGTTAAGGCCCAGATGATATGAGTTGGCTTCCTGCCCCCTGTTCCCCCCCACAATTTTTGTGGGTTTTTTTTTTTTAACCTTGACCTTATTTCCAACCACAAAAATGGTAACTTAGGAGATGTTATCCAAAAGGTTAATTGTCATCATTATTTAATGCACTTCTGAGATTGCATCAAAGAAGTTGAACATTTAAAAATATCATCTGTTGGGGGCGGCGATAAGAAAATAAGGAAAGTTCAGGTGTCTTTTCCCCACTTTGATTTTAGCCTTTGGGAATACTGGGGCCGATACAAGAGGTCTGAGTAGCTGCTGTTACCCCAACCAACTCCATTCGTCTCTTGGGAAAAGGGAGACAATAATTAGAACAAATTAGGATCAGGCAACTGATCAAAAAAATAGGGCAATGAAAACTCTCCCTTTTACAATCCCAAGTTAGTAGCAAGTGGTAGCTGGCTGGCCTTTGTCCTTCGTCTGACCTGCCAAGGGCAGAGCTTACATTTTATTTTCTTAAAGCCTCCGAGGAGCCTTTTCTGGAAGCTGCGTGGTTAGTTCAAAGTTGGAAAAAATAATAGCTGGGTTCCTGTGGAAATTTATGAAAAGAAAACATTTTTCTTGACTTAACTTTCTCAGAACCTCGGCTGACTGATAGGTTCCCAAGCCATTTTCCCTCTATTTGCAAAGCATAGAGTGGATAGGTGAGCGGGCAGAGTCAGCAGGCCTCACGGGGAGTTTTGATTTCCTTCTAAGCTCAGTAAAGCAGCCCCTGAGGCCATCAGCTGGGGACTGAGGACCCCTCTGTCAGCCACAGTGAAGCTTGCCAATCTGCCACAGGTCCCCTCACTACAAAGCCTGAAGTAATATTCTTTCTCTTCATTTGTTGCTAAACAAAATCCCACTCATCCTTCAAGATAAACCTCAACCCTCCCTTTTTCAGTGGAGGTACTTGTCCAGATGTCAAGATTGACATGAAGCCTGAAAGGGAGGTTGTATTTGGCAATGAACATTTTGGGGTTTTCTGCATAGTGGAGTAGCTACAGCCCCCAGGGGTCAGTTGTTCAGGGATAGTGAAGAAAGAATGCGAAGGAGTAGTACAGGCCGTGGAAGGTCTATGATCAGGAGTTGACCCAGCACAAACAGGTCAGGAGAGGCTGGCAAAGACTGGGAAGCACTGGGATATATGGTGGGAAATGTTCTATTACAATAAATTCTTATTGTGACGAAATACAATAAGAAATAAATAAATGTTAAAATTTTTACTTTTTAACATTTTCAAGTAGAATTCCACAGCATTAAGTACATTCAGACCATCTCCAGAACTTCAGTTTCCCCAGCTGAAACTCTATATTCATTAAATAGATGCAGTTTGTTGTTGTTTGTTTTTTGCTAGCAACACAGAGCAGCATTATGATGTAGGGATGGAAGAAACATTGGGGATCAAGGACTCCACGGTGCAGTAGAAAGTGCTCGCAGAGAAATTGTCTGTGGGCAGGTGGGTGAAGCAGAGGCACTCATGAGAAGGGGTGGAGTAGACCACAGAAGTGACTGTGATTTATATCCCGCAACCAGGGGGCTTTCCAGTTTGGATCAAGTGGGATCCAAAGAATTTTGTATAAAAATAATAGTCGGGCTGGGGATGTGGCTCAAGTGGTAGCACACTCACCTGGCATGCACTGGGCGCTGGGTTCGATCCTCAGCACTACATAAAAATAAAATAAAGATGAAAGAAAATACATGTTAAGTTAAAAATAATAATAATTAAAGAAATACCATTATTTATTAGACAATTTTGTTTCTGCTCAGAATTAAGATAACAAATCCTTTAGGATTAATATAAAAGCAAAATTTGATAAGAGATATGCCAGACTTGGAGAAAATAACTGTGATATGATAGAAATCCTTTAAAGACTCCTACAACTTAATAAGAAATGAGTAGGATTAGACGAACTCCAGATAGGGCAAAGGGAGGGAGGGGAAGGGAGGGGAAGGGAGGGGGCATAGGGGTAGGAAAAACGGTGGAATGAGATGGACACCATTACCCCAAGTACATGTATGAAGACATGAATGGTGTGACTCTACTTTGTGTACAACCAGAGACATGAAAAGTTGTGCTCTATGTGTGTAATAAGAATTATATTGCATTCAGTTGTCATATATAACAAAATTTTTAAAAAAGGAGTGGGCAAAAATTATGAGCAGAGTTCATAGAAGTTTAAGAAAATTGGTTAATAAACATTTATAAACATAAAAATTTATTGGTTAGGAAAATACAAATTTAAACAATGATACTGCTTTTAAATATAAAAAGAGGGGATTAGGCAGAGGGGACTGAATGGAGGAGAAGAGGGTGGGGGGAGACAGGAAGGATACTAGAATGAATCATACATTATTACCCTGTTTACAATTATGATTACATGACCTATGTGATTCTACATCAGGTGCAAACAGACGAGAAGTTATGCTCCATTTAGGTATGATGTGTCCAAGTGCATTCTACTGTCATGTAAAACTAATTAGAACAAATTTTAAAAAATTAAAAAGAATGAAGGGAAGAAAGAATTTGGTATCATTTCTTTTTAGTAACTTACTTTACTAAAAAGTAAGTTATCAAAATATTAAATTTAGGGACTGTTGAGCTTTGAAGTCCACTTGTAGTCATCTCGCCACAGAATTACTTGTACAAATACAGGAAAATATTTACCAGATTGACCTCTTTTTTTAAAAAAAATGGAAGAGTAAAAATCACATTTGCTAGTTTACTTACATGGGTTATGCAGCGTTATGCAGTATTTACCATCAAACTGAACTATACAGGGGCACAGAAGTGTTATTCCTGGAGCTCTGACCAGCAGCAGGGGCCCAAAGCTGTGGGCCCCCTTTGAGTCCTGCTACCTCTTGGCCAGGGGCAGCACACATATCAGAGGTGCATAGTCCATGATGGGAAAATGCTGCAAAAGAGGAAATGACATCCGACTTAAAGTATGTGATCATATGAATTGAGTGATGTGGTGCAGGAAATGCTTATCGATAAGATCAGACCGACTGTAAATTGGAGTGAGAAGATCAATTTCCTAATTGAGGCCAGGGCACAGTTTTGTTCTCTGGGATTTTATATCCATATAGATCTTTTTGAAAATTTGTTCTTTTAGTGAGATGCAGCTTCACAATGTTGCCCAGGCTGGCCTCAAGCTCCTGGGCTCAGAGGACCCTTTGTCTTAGCCTCCCAAGTAGTTGGGACTGATGGGCACATCTGGCACATCTGGCAGGATCAAATGAGTTTTTTTTGTTTGTTTGTTTTTTGGTACCAGGGATTGAACCCAGGGGTGCTTAACCATTGAGCCACATTTCTAGCCCTTTTTATTTTTTATTTTGAGACAGAGTCTTGCTATGTTGCTCAGGGCCTTGCTATCATTTATTTTTTTATTAGAAGGGAATTATTAAGGTCAGATGGCATTACAGGTAAAAGGTTTTTTTTTTCCTGAACAGTTTATCTAAAATATGGTCATGCATTACTAATGACACATTCTGAGAAATGCATCATTAGGCAGTTTCGTTGTATGAACATCATAGAACATACATAAACCTATGTGATATAGTTCAATCTCTTGACAGTACCTCGGAGTACTCTACCACTGAGCTACACCTCCAGCCCTCTTTTATTTTGAGACAGGGTCTTGTTAAATTACCCAGGCTGGCCTTGAACTTGCAATCCTCCTGCCTTACCCTCCCATGTAGTTGGGATTACAGGCATGCACCACCACATCGGGCTTTCAACAGAGCCTCTGATGCAATGGAGAATGGTGAATGCACGAGGCCACTGCTAGTGTGACATGGTGTAGGTTTTTTTGGTAAACTTTTTTAATAAGTGGAAGGAGGACTATACTCTAAAATAACGATGTCGTATAGAAAATACATAAACCAGTTACACAGTAATCTATCATCAAGTATTATGTAATTCTATGTGCTGTAGTTTTTAACAGTGTCAGTGCAGAAGGTTTGTCTATGCAGCATTACCACCAACGGGTGAGTCATGTTTTGTGCTAAAGTGTTAAAACAGCTAGTGTCACCAGGTGATCGGAACTTTTCAGCTCCATTATAATCTTATTGAGACTACTGTTTTATGAGCAGATAGTCATTGACCAAAATGTTATGTATCTCATTGTACACTGTACCTCCCTATTCACATGCCATTAGAAAGGTGTGTAGCCTTGTCAGGACTTCCAACGTGTAAGAGTAATGGAATGAACGGGCAGCCATTCAGTGTCCGATTGTGGTCCCATCCATCCAGAAACCCTGATTTGGAGGTAGAGGTTGGTGCTGTTTCAACAGTACTGTATGATTGCAGTTTTAATTGAATATGAAACTAAAGAGATAATAGAAAACATTTTTAGTAACTTTAACAAAAGAAGAGGCTCAAAGATAATAAAGTTGCTTTGGAGATCTGTAAAAAAAAGTTTAGTACAAAAATATTCAAACAACAGGATTTCCCTGGCATACATTCAAGAATTTCTAAACCTTGGTTCATGAAGGCTCAGACATGCGACATGAAAATTATGCTCCAGTTGGTTATGGTTTTTAAAAAATGCATCATTTTAAACCAATGAGGGAATTGTTTTACTACCACATTTTTGTTTGATTTTATTAGATTATTATTAGTATACTAACAGTGCAAAATGGTTAGATTCAGATTGGATGCATCCTATGAAAATTGAGATTTCTTCCAGTTAAATAACATCAAAGAATCAATCTAAGGATTTTACTTGTTAGTTCATAAGTGAAAATAGGAGTCTTCCATTATCTTTTCCTACTCCCATATTTCTATCTGAACAAGACTAAATATTAACATCCATGTAGTATAATTTTCCTTTTATTGCGAAATTTAAGCTAGTAAATAATTTATTAAAGCGAGGTTTGCCATTTTAATAGATGGAAGTTTTCAATTATAGGACAGATGAGGTTCTAGTTAGCTTTAAATAAATATGCTAAGACAGACAATGTAGTCACCCATCTATTTTTAAAATTATAGATTTATAAACCAGCTGTGGGGTACACATCTATACTCCCCACAACTCAGAAGGTTGAGGCAGGAGGAGTACAAGTTCAAGGCCAGTCTCCGTAACTTAGTGAGGCCCTAAACCATTTAGTGAGAACTTGTCTGAAAATAAAAAAGAGCTGGGGATGTTGCTCAGTGAGTGGTTAAGTGTTCCTGGGTTCATTCCAAGGTATATGAAAATCAAAAATTGTACATTTATAGGTTCAGATGCAGAAAATATGGGTTGCACACAGAACTCTTGAGTTTTTAGAACATTTCCATTATGAACGGAACTACTAAAAATAACATAAGCAGTCGTCCCTAAAAAGAAATTTAAATTCAACATAATGTAAAAATTACTATGAAATATCATGTGAATATGTGGCAGAAGTTTCTTTAGTTCCTTATTCAGTGGAATTTATACAGAAATAAACATCTCTACAATGAGGAAAGATGAAAGGGTAGGGTGAAGGCCTGCTAAGACTCCAGAGCACAGGTGTTCTATGAAGAGCTGCAAGTTGGTTAGCAGGGGTTTTAGGTATTTTCCAGGGCTGATACCTATAACAAATAATGTTAAGGAGATGTCTAAACATGATATTTGAAAGGACCTTTTCAAGGTGCTATTATACACGTCAACCTTCACAATTGGACTTTGTGCAGGAAGCTACTACATTCACTTTTTTGTACTTGTCAAGTTTTTTAAAATCACAGAAAACCAACAAGATAATAATGATGATCTTTCTTTGTGAAGATGAGAAGGGCAATAGGTGGACTGTACCTCATGTAGCTTTGAGTTCATACTATGAAAGATAAACCACCTGTTTCCTATCTCTTGCTTTTTAGAAAGAATAAATTGTTTGTAGTCCTTAGATTTTTTTTTTAAAAAAAAAAAAACCAACTAAGAATTCACAAACAGTAATATCACCCTCTCTATAGTGCCCTCCTGAGTGTTGACAGATGAATGCAGTCATACAGCTACCACCACAGTGAAAATACACAACTGTCCTTCTGTCATCCAAAATTTTGTCGTGTCCTTTAGTGATCAGTCATTGTGCATACCACCAGCTTCTGGCCACCATGCATCTGGTTTCTACCCCTGTGAATCTGCCTTTTCCAGAATGTCCCACAGAATTATATCTGGGTAGCCTTTTACGTTGGCTTCTTTCTAGTGCATGTGTGAGTGTCCTGACTTCATTCTTTGCTATTGCTGAGTGGTATGCCATTGTAGGGATATACCAGTTCACTAGTTGAAGGACAAGGAAGTGTCTTCATTTTTGGATGATTAAAAATAAAACCTCTGTAAACGTCCAAGGTTTTTGAGTGAGGAATTGGAATTGAGTTGGAATTGCTGGGTCATGTGATATGATCAAGAGTGTCCTTTTTTTTTTTTTGTACTGGGGATTGAACTAGGGACACTTAACCATCAAGCCACATCCCCAGCCCTTTTTCTATTTTATTTTGAGACAGGGTCTTGTTAAATTGCTTAGGGCCTTGCTAAGTTGCTGAGGCTAGCTTTGAACTTGTGATCCTCCTGCCTCAGCCTCCTAAACTTCTGGGATTTTAGGCGTGAGCCTGACCAAGTTTATCTTAATTCTGTGAGAACTGCCATGGCTACATTGAGTGGCTTTGAATTTACTTCCATGTTTGGTAGCTGCTTTATATAATTGCAGATTATTGACTTGAGGACATTAGAGTATCAATCACAATAGTTACATTTTAATTATTTTGATGCCAGGGATTGAGCCGAGGACCTTGGGCATATTCCACACACATTCTATTGCTAAACTACACTTCTAGTCCTGGATGTGTTTTATTTTAATTATCACTTACTAGTTGCAAACCATGTTTTGGTTTTCTGGCTTTCATGTATAAAGAAAAGATGAATACCATTGTATCTTAATTTGTTGCACAAAAGTGAATGGATGTAATTTCCTAGAGGTTGTCATTTTATTAGTGTGAATGGCCAAGGTTTTTTTTTTTTTTTTTAACCTCTTAAGCCTGTTTTTTTCTCTTCTTTAAAGTGGTGATAAATTATTACCTGACAGTGAGAATTTACTGAAATGCTGCTTGGAAAGTTCCTAACATGTGCCTGGCACCAAGTAAATGTTAGCTATTAAAAAAGGAATTTGTTTAAAAACCAAACCTGAGACTATAATTTAAATGTTACTATCAAGGCTTAGGAAGCAGACACTGGGACATTTTTGTGACAGAGACACATTCTGGTTTTTGCATTACTGAGATGTGCCAAGACTGCGTGGTCTTGGAATCAAATCTAAACAGTTTCTCTTCCACGGTAAAATTTAAACACATACTGGTAGAATTTGTGAAGGAACTAAGACAATTCAGGTTTTTTCTCTTTGAGTTCTTTCTTGTACATTCTAATTCTGTATTCTTTTATTAGATTAGTTGCAAAACTTCATTCTTTTTATGGAGACAATTTTCTTTTGTGTTTTTGTGTTTGTTTTTGCTGTGCTCTGAGTACCAAGTTCATGCTTATGCATGCTGGGTAAGTGCTCTCAATACTGAGCCGTATCCCCAACCACAGGGAGAAAATTTATTAAAAATTATAATTTGTATTAAAAATAATTTGCCCACATTCAATGCGAGTTACTAAGAGTCCCATGTAAAGGCTGTGTTGAAGAAAGGGAACAGACTCCTGGAACTTGGACATTAATTGGTCCTGGTGGGTATGCAATTGAGCCATGTGCTCTCCAGTTTTTGGTGAGATGAAGCAACCTGCTCAGTCAGTGGTTCTCAAAGTGTGATTCCTGAAGTCAGCCCAGGCCAGCATTATGAGTCACCTGGGAGCTGGTTAGAATTGCAAATTCTGTGGCCCCACAGCATACCAGCTGAATCAGACCTTGGAAATAGGACGCAGCCAGCAATATGTGTGAACAGTCACCCACGTGTATCTCTAGGCACTAGACTGTGAGGTCCACCATATCTGGGCACTTGGAGGAATGGATTGGAGAGGTTGCTGTCTCCTGTGGGAGAAATTGATAGCCTATTACCTCATTGTGATTTTTGTAAATATTTTCATTCTGACGTTTCCTAATTCTTCAGGGCTCTGAGAAATCTTTAATGATCAAATTTTGTGAATTACATAAAAATGAGCAACAATAATATACCAGTTAAACAGGGTTCTGAAATAACATAAAATGTGGTTTCCTTGGGACCTTGATGTATTTATTCATTCTGCAGTTTATTCACACACAAAAAAAAATCAATGAGCTGTGCTAAAAGGAAAAGTCATACTTGGCAAAATAGCATTTGACATCATTCCAGCTGAGATCCTAATATCTTAAAGCTTATGAGTTGTGAATCTGTGACGTTTGGTCCAGGGCATGGACCCAGTTAAAAGGGAAACAAACTGTTTTCATGTTAGCTTTTTTTTCAAGAAGGATTACTAATAGTTCAGGCATTAGTCAGTTTATAAACCATCCTATTCCCAACTGTATTTCTAGTGCAACTGAAGGTTCCATGTGCCTCCCTTGTTTATTTCACTGTAATAAATAGAAATCTCTCCATCCTCATGTACTGCATCTCTTGCAAAACACAGCAGCAGCCCATCCTCTGGGGAGGTGTGGCATATTATGCATGGGCTTGTCCTTGGGCAGTAAGATCTAAGAATGTACTGAAGTCCACAGTGTACTGGCCAGAGCTCCTGGCTGATCCTGGGTGATCACCCCGAAGCTATAAAGTCAGGAGTGAGATTTTTATCACATGAACTTTAAGAGAGTAAAGGCAAATGTTTCCTTACTAAGCCAGAATGGACTAATTATCAGTATATGTGAAGTCATGTCCACTGATCAAGGTAAGTGGTTTCATTTTCTAGAATATCTTTCTTATGCTGTTTTCAGAGTGTGTGGGTCACTGAATAATGCTGCTGGCTGAGGGACATAAAAGTGGCAGAGTTCAGTGTCATTTTAAAGTTAAGAAGAAGCCTCACCTTGTTTTATTAGCTTTGAGATAAAAATATGTACTATTGATAGTTTTTGGCTTTCCCAGGCAGCTTCCTCTGGGCTAAAATGATACAAATTGGTTTGGTGGTAACAATGAGCCAGAGAAATATAACTAATATTTGTAAAATTCAGCCAGTGAGGGAAGGAATGCAGAGAAAGAAGGCAAAAGTTCCTTTTTTCCCTGCATTTCTGGTGTGAACACAGTTAAGACATATTAATCAGTTACCCTCCTCTGATGCAGAGCGTGGAGCGTTGTTCTGTTAAAACAAGTATTTCCACCACCCCAGCCTTGTTTTAGCAAAGAAGTTCCAGGGAGTAAATTTTCCTTATTTTTCCATATACAATAACATTGTTCAGATAAGCATGGATTGTTTTTAAAAATTGTTAGCAGCAGTATTAATCCACAGTGGTGTCCTTGATTTTTAAAGAGAGCTAATTAATGAGAAATTGATTCTTTCATATAGAAATGCAAATTCCACTGTGTGGTAAAAATATCATGTGAACTGGAAGTACCCACTAAAAATACTTTTAAAAGCTGAAATGGATTCATTTTGTTTAGCTATTTCCCCTTGTTTCTGCATGGATATAGACTTCCCTGAAGAATGTCTACACTGCTAACTGGTATGAACTGAAACATAGAACGAGCAATCCTGGTAGTTAGCAAGAGTCTCTTACTTGTGGTGTCTCTCCTTCCTGCCTTTGACTTCTGGGGTGCATGAAGCCCTGGGGCGGGGTTGGTTGGTCATAGTCCTGCAGCAGAAGAGCTGAGCTAAACCCCCTCCTACAGCTGCATGGCTCTGGCTGGCTATGTTCCCAGGTTCTAGTAGTTGCTGAAGGTTTGAGCAGCCGATTCCGTGCCTGCTCCTGCTCCTTCCACGACCCAGCCAGAAGCATGAATTCCTCTGCAGGGGTTCAACTGTTCTTGGTGTTCCTGTGATCTCTCCACGGTTTACCACCATATCTAAATGTGAACTTTGCAAAAAGGAGAAGCAGCAGAAATGCAGTAAAAGGGAAGTCTTTTCTCCATCAGTGAAGTTCTCTTTTTCCTGAAATGGCTTCTGTCCCTTCTCATTCCATCTTCAGTTAGGGATGATGGGAGAGAGTCAGCTCTCTGCTGGAGGGAGAACTGCGGTGAGGCTGGAGGATGATGGCAAGGCTTCAGAGGGCAGTGTGGGTCCACAGAGCGACGCTCTTGCCTCCTTTCTGCTTAAGGGGACAACACCCTGGAGAGCATGGCCACTACAACAATGTGGGCTTTATGAGTTCCTTTAAAAAGGTCTAAACTGAAAAAGGCAGTAATGTAGCCACTTCCTGCCTACTGTCCCAGATCATTTTATTGCTTTTAAGTCAGGCAAGAAAAATTTATGCAAATTTAATGTACGTGTTTTTTGTACATTTTGTTTTTAATGACTGGGATTTTTTTTTCCCCTTTTTAAAACTTATGCTTCTAGGCAAACCCTTCTCACATAAAAATGAAGTAAGCTAGAGTGTGATGGAAGATTCCATAGGAAGCACTGTGCACTTCTTTTGAGGGGTAGTCATTTGGTCTTTGTTTAATATACATCCAAACCTACATGTGGCTTAAATTGCAGTGCAGAATTCAGATTTAAACTTAACTAAGTCCCCTTACATACCAAATAGACTTCAGGAGGTCAAGGGTAGATAGGAAGCTACTAACAATAATCCAGGGGAAAGTTGAGTTGACCTTTTATTTGGGGAATGAAAGGTCTTTTCTTAGCTGCTGTGTAGACCTATCCATTCCTGCCACATTTCTGACTCACATTCTGATAATCATCTTTACTCTGGATGCTCTTTCTTCTTCCTAAAATAGGGAGCTAATTTTTATTGGCTTCAATCTGTTCTCTGCCTAGGAGCCTGAGTATCCCTTTAAAAATGGAAAACACATCATTTTCCTCTTCTCAAGATTCCTTCCCTGGATCCTCAGCTCTATTGAGGAAAAGCCTCTGCCCCTTCAGTGTGTGCAAGGCCCTCCTGTTCTAGCCTCAGCCTTGACCCCATTCTTGCTCTGACTTCAGCAGCAAGCTTGTTCTCTATCTGGTCTACCCATGGCGTCTCCCTTGTTTCTTGGTAAACACATCAACTATGCAAACACATCCTTACCTTAGGATTTGTGCAGTTTTCATTTGCCTGAGATTCTAATCCCCCCAATATTTGTGTACCTCACTCCCTTTGGGTCTGCTCAGCACACCTTATCTGTGCAGCCTTCATTCATTCTGTGTGTGTGCGCGCGCACGCCTGTGTGTGTAAATACAATAGCTGCCCTCTCCAAATAGCACTCACTCCTTTACCCAGATTTGCCAGCAACATGTTTTTTCACTTAGTATATAATGGCTTTTGGGTTGTTATGTTTACTGCCTTATCTCTTGGGTTTAGTAACAGAACTGATAAATACAGAGTGGTTCATCAATATTTGTTGAATGAATACATTTCTGATAGTCCTGTGGCTTTTTCTGTTAGGAAACTTAAAGCAAAATGAGCAGCAGGAATAGAAGACAAGTTAATAATGTATAAGTCTTTGTAGAGTTCTCCATTTCTTTTCCTTGATCCCCTTTTTAGGAGTGAACAGACTTGCTTGCCACCTTCTGGTCTCCCTTGTGGAGCAAAGTCTGAGTGATGGGCTTCTTCCCACACAGGTCTTAGAAGCCAACTTGATCTAAAGATCTGTAAAGATCAAGACTGAGACAGAAGGAAGTGGGGGTCGTAGTGAGATCGGTGTCTACAGATGAGTTCAGTAAATGGTTTTTGGATGATCAATTAATGAGCTGGGTTGGGAGAGAGGAAAGAGATGGAGGAGAAACTTTGGGATGTGAAATTAATAAATTTGGGAAGCATTTTTGTCAGTGTGGAGAAAATTATGACGTGAAAAAAAGAAATTTTGTGATATTTTGCTGTGTATTAAGAGTCTACTTCCCCCTTTTAATTTTTCATGTTTTTTTTTTCTTCCTGTTGTTCTACTTCTGCTGGAGAGAGATAGGCAAAGAAAGAGGACTGAATAAAAATACCAACCTAGAAACATTTCTTCCTAATAGTTTTTTTAAAGCTTGATTTGAAGGGGTAGAAAATTAAAAGTGTGAAATTATTTATGTATTTATGTTTCATGCTGTTTCCTTCCAAATTTGGATAATTAGAAATTGTCCTACATGTAAAAATCTAAAAGTAACAGTAAAAATTTATGAACTGTTATTCGCTATATGGTAATATACTTTATCTGAATATTGACACATTATTAGACTTCATAGTAAGATAAAATCTAATTTGACGACAGTAAAAGAAAATATACAAAGCTTAAAAATGATTATTTTTGTGGTATTGTAAATGTAAGCCCCCCTAATGATTGTTAGACTGGTACAATTACTGCTTTTCTCCTCTTATATTGCCAATAAGGGTTTTTTTGTTTGTTTGTTTGTTTGTTTTGCCTTCAGATGAACTTTCTGTGCTCCTCTGACTGGCCTCAAATTCTTGGGCTCAGGCAATCCTCCTTCCTCAGCCTCCCGAGTAGCTGGGACAGGTGCATGACACTCAGTTAAAAGATACTTTCAGTGCCTCTTAAGTTTAAAATTGGTGAATAATTTAAAACAGAGTGGTAACAAAACAGGAAATATAACTATATTCACTAGACTAATCCCCAAAATATTTAATACCCGTGCCTTAAATGATATATAAATTTGCCTTCCCCATAGACATCTAAAACCAGTGACTGTGAGTGACACTTGACATAGTGGAGGTACAAAGTATAGATTTGGAGAGTAGGAAAGAAGGAGCAATTCACTGTCAAATTTATTAAGGAAAATTTCCTCAAAAAAGGTGACATTGGGCTGGGCACAATGGCTCAAGCCTATAGTCTCAGCAATTCAGGAGGCTGAAGCAAGGGGATCACAAGTTCAAGGTCAGCCTGGGCAACTTATCAATACCCTATCTCAGAATAAAAAATAAAGCCAGGTGTGGTGGCACATGCCTGTAATGTGGCTCTGGAGGCCGAGGCAGGAGGATCATGGGTTCAAAGCCAGCCTCAGCAAAACAGAGGCACTGAGCACCTCAGTGAGAACCCTGTCTCTAAATAAAATAGAAAATAGGGCTGGAGATGTGGTTTAGTGGTCAAGTGCCCCTGAGTTCAACCCTGGTAACTCCCCTCCCCCATAAAATAAAAATAGAAATGAAATAGGAAGGGATAGTAGAATGAAACAGACATTATTACCTTATGTACATATATGAATGCATGACTGATGTGATTCTACAACATGTACAATCAAAACAATGGAAAATTATACCCTACTTATATATGATATATCAGAGTGCATAGATGCATTCTACTGTCATGTATAACGGATCAAAACAAATTTCAAAAAAAAAATAATAAAAAGGATTGAGGATGTATCTTTTTATTTAATTTTTTTAACTTCATCTGCTATTATTTTTGTATATTTTTATGTGGTGCAGAGGATTGAACCTGTGCCTCACATGTGCTAGGTGAGCGGTCTTACCACAGCCCTGGGGATGCAGTTTAATAGAAGAGCAACCCTGGGTTCCACCCTCAGAACCACATATGCGCACACACAAAAAGATCATTATGTTTTTGTCACAAGAAGGACCATCACACTAAGGGAACCAACATATATAGAAAGAGAGGTGTATGACAAGAGTATGAGGTATTCCAGGAGCAGAGAACATAGGAATACAGCTGTGAGTAGATAAGAAGCCCTTTGGTAGAGCAATGTCTGGTGAGGAATCCTTTATACAAACTGGAATGTTTTTCCTATGGCTCTGGAAGTCTCATTAAGGAATTTTAAGCAAGGGAGTAATAAGATTGGTTCCACTCATTGGATAAATACAATAGTTCACCATTTTATTGTGGGAGCAATATCATTAGACCTGGCTAAACATGACTTCAGTAAGGCTGTTTTAAAATTCAGAATTGGAAAAGTGGCTATCTTTGATGAATTGGTCCATTTTTTTTCTTCTAAACTTCCCTCTTCTGTTGGCCAGAAAAAATATAGGAAATAATAGATAAGCTAGATGGAGCATTTGCTTTTTAAGTTTTGCATGACTGGAACAATCCTCTGCACTGTTTGAAGCTTAACACAAGATGCTATTGTGCTTCTGGCCTAGAATCTAGCTGGGGCAAAGCGTCGTAAGGCCTTCTGGGTTGATTCGACAACAGGGAATAAGGAAAGCAAATTCCTAACTTTGTAAGCTGTTAAATATTAAATGTATAGTAAAATGGAATTTATACTGACATTTGTCTTAAATGAAAGAGCATCAGAGAGTTGGGGTGGGGTAGAAAGTATTACCAAGCCTTTAAAGTGAGCTGTCTAATTTGTCAGATGCACTTTTAAAATTTGCCAAGAGTCAAATTGAAGAACTTTGAGGTCTAGGTCTGTTTACCTGTGACCTTGCCTAAGTAAGGTCACTTAGAGCAGTAAAACTATTTCTTTAATTTTTAAGGAAGTTAAGTAACTTTCCCACAGACATGAGATAAATCATGCCAGAAATTTGAGCTTTGAGCCTCTAATTTTACTAATCCACCCTGTTTTCTCCTGGGGAGGAATAAAAAAAGCACTTTCCAGATAAACTGTTGAGAGCCACAACCAAAGGGGCCCCATGAAGGGTACCCCTGAGAAAGGAGGGGGCCCTTTCATGAGTGGTGGAGAATGTTCCCCTCCACTGACAGCAGAGCCAGCTGGGAGACCTCCTTCTGCTACTCTTAATCAAAAAGATATGCCTAGAAACGGATTTGACTCAGGATGTGGTCCAGCTCACATGAACAGCAGCTCCAGAAGTTCTTCTCTAGCTAAGGTGACGAATGAGGGCAAGGTTCATATGGCTATGAAAGGGCCCCCTCCTTTCTCAGGGGTACCCTTCATGGGGCCCCTTTGGCTGTGGCTCTCAACAATAAACAACCTTGTTCTTCGTAGCAGGTCTGGCTGATCCTGAGGCTGAGGCTGCGGTGACCCATGCATTTAGAGCAGTGGCTGTTGGGTGAAGAACTGGGTCTCAAGGAGCGTTTCCTGTTTGGTGGGGTTGGTTTTATCCATTGTTACCATGAGGTTCCACTTAGGTTTGAAAAGTGAATAAATAGTGTCAGAAACTATAAAACCAAGTGTTCAGGATGGTGGGCTGAGAAGTAAAAGTCAGCTGGAAGCTCACAGAAATTAGTTTACAAAATAGGTGTTAGGCTAAGATGTTTTAGCCGCAA